AAAGATGTCCGACGATTTTGAAGTTGGATGAGAAAACGGGAGAAAGTGAGAAGGGATTTTTCGCCCTTCCCTGCCTTTTTTAAGCGGAGTACACAGACAAATAACTTAGATGACGTGACGCGTGACGTTTCCAACGTGATGACGTAATCCGTGGCGCGTCGCAGACCAGCACAAGACGAACAATTGTGGTTAAAAAGTATATAAATGTTTTATTTATTTTTTAGAAAATGAGCGATGGTTTCGCTAGATAAGCCCCTGTTCCTCAGCTGGAGAGCCCTGTGAAGCGCTTCAAACCCTTTGAAACTGCATTGATTTGGACTTCAAAACGTTGGTTGCAATTGAAGTCCATTGTGTGGAGAAAAATGCTAAAATGTTTTCCTCAAAAAACTTAATTTCTTTTCCACTGAAGAAAGAAAGACATGAACATCTTGGATGGCATTGGGGTGAGTAAATTATCAGGAAATTTTCATTTTGAGGTGAACTAATCCTTTAACACTTGTTTAATGAAAAATGTGTCAAAATAAAGTGAGTTTGTGCTTAAAACATGAACAAATATCTGCATGTGAAGTCAGAAAAATAATCCTTATTTAAAGGGAAAACAAGATTTTTTTTCCCAGACTTTCTTGTTTAAAGCACAAACTCACTTCATTTTGATCATTTTTTCTTAATATCTTTAGTAATTTCCCTTCACCAGTAAATGTAAGAATGTTTAGATATAGTGCTGGAAAATGAGACAGAAACACTGAGGAAGAACAGCATTTCATGCAGTGCATAATCTTCCTCTAATTATGTTTATTTAATATGCCAAACCTTTAACCTGAAGAATCAAATTGGATCTTCTTCATCCTCACTGGTCTCCTTGCACAGGGTGAGTCCTCCTGCTACAGGTCAAAGGTCAAGCGTTTGTTCCCTGCAGGGTGACCTTTGACCTGGGGAGTTACTGAGGTCAGCATCGTTCTGCCTTCACGTCACTGAAGTCGTCTAATAAATAGTCAATAATTATAAATACAGAGTTATTTGAGTATCACTGAGATACTATTATAGTTTTATTAACAGTTTTATATTTTCCATTGACATTTTAGTTAAAGTTTTAGTCATTTTTTAGTAGGTTTTTTGAATATTCATAGTCTTTTTTGTAATGAAAATGAGAATTTAAAAAAAATATTTTATTTCATAAACATTTCTTTTCATTTCAAGTAACAACATTTCTTTTGTGATTTTAGTAAACAATAATAACCCTGACTAAATAATTAAGAAAATAATGAGTAAAAATATAATGAACATTTATACAAATTATATTTTGCATGAAGAAAAAGAAAGTACTATTAAGGGTTTTGGCTTTGTGACATTATTGTAATGATGATTAAGCACTTTTAACCCCTCAAATTCATATTACTGTAATGCATTGTTTTAAAGTGTTGTTGTTTTTTTCAGTTATGGTTTTTCCTTTTGCTAATTCTCATTATTCTCTATTAGGATTCTGGTTAGATGATCATTGTAATTCATTTACATTTGCATGCATTTAGCAGATGCTTTTATCCAAAGCCACATATAGAAGAAACAATATTCATAGTCTTTTATCTTTTTTAAGTATTATTTTTAGGATAAGAGTATCACTATAATTCTTATTTTTGTTGAATTAAAAATGAGTATGATACCAGTATACAATCAGAATGAATGTAAAGGCAGCATGAAAATGAAATGTTGTGTATTCTCTGTCGTCAGAGAAGATGACTATTATCCTGAAGGAATGTTTGGTCTCGGGTAACGGCGTATTTCTGCCGTCTAATAACAGGCTTTAGGGCGAATTCAAGCTTGTTTCGTCCTGACGTGAAATAATCTCCTGTCAGACGAACTGCTTTTGCCCCCGAGGAGCCGAGAAACATCCGTCGGACACACAAACATTAGAAGAACTCTCGACTGCAGGACGTTTGAGGACGTCTAAGTCTTCCAGATTCAGCTCATGAGAGGCTGATTAACTCTTCACCCGCCAGAGTCCGGACACAAACCTGAGCCTTTCAGCAGTTTGATCATTTCACAAAATTGTCATGGCCCCCAGAATATTTTACTGTATGAATACCTGAACATGCAAAATATCCAAAGAAAGAACAGAGCATCTGCTTTTAAACAAACAAAAACAACAAAAACTTGAATGTGGGGAAGTTTCATAAAAAAAAAAAAACGTTTTTTTGAACAAAAAGCTGATAAAATCATGTTTTTTGTCAAAGACTTCATTCCTGTGATCAAAGCTGAATTTTCAGCATCATTACTCCAGTCTTCAGTGTCACATGATCCTTCAGAAATCACTCTAATATGAGGATCTGATGCTCAAGACACATTTATGATTATTATCAGTGTTGAAAACAGCTCATATTTTTTTGTGGAAACTGTCATACATTTTATTTTTCAGGATTCTTTGATGAATAGAAAGTTCAAAAGAACAGCATTTATTTGAAATAGAAACTTTTGTAACATTATATATGTTTTTACTGATCAATTTTCATGCATCTTCCGCAATATAAGTATTATATAAAACATATATTGCTGACCCCAAACCTTTGAACGGTAGTGTATGGAAGGTGTTTTACATTCAACATAAGAAAATATGCATATACTGTAGAAACCAGTGATTCTTGAAAAATGTCACACAAAATCTTATAAGATAGTTAAAACATCAACAAGTTTATGGGGTTTAATGACAGACATTTGAAAGCAAACTCTATCGCCCTCTTGAGGACTGAGGATGTTTTCTGTCACAGCAACACGAGAACACACTAATGTTCAGCAGTTTGTGTCTGTGCAAGTGTGTAAAGTGTTTCTGCATGTGTGTAAAGTGTTTCTGCATGTGTGTAAAGTGTTTCTGCATGTGTGTAAAGTTTTTATGCATGTGTGTAAAGTTTTTATGCATGTGTGTAAAGTGTTTCTGCATGTGTGTAAAGTGTTTATACATGTGTGTAAAGTGTTTCTGCATGTGTGTAGTGTTTTTGCATGTGTGTAAAGTGTTTATACATGTGTGTAAAGTGTTTCTGCATGTGTGTAAAGTGTGTAAAGTGTTTCTGCATGTGTGTAAAGTGTTTCTGCATGTGTGTAAAGTGTGTAAAGTGTTTATGCATGTGTGTAAAGTGTTTCTGCATGTGTGTAAAGTGTTTCTGCATGTGTGTAAAGTGTTTCTGCATGTGTGTAAAGTGTGTAAAGTGTTTTTGCATGTGTGTAAAGTGTTTATACATGTGTGTAAAGTGTTTCTGCATGTGTGTAAAGTGTGTAAAGTGTTTCTGCATGTGTGTAAAGTGTTTCTGCATGTGTGTAAAGTGTGTAAAGTGTTTATGCATGTGTGTAAAGTGTTTCTGCATGTGTGTAAAGTGTTTCTGCATGTGTGTAAAGTGTTTATACATGTGTGTAAAGTGTTTATGCATGTGTGTAAAGTGTTTCTGCATGTGTGTAAAGTGTTTCTGCATGTGTGTAAAGTGTTTATACATGTGTGTAAAGTGTTTCTGCATGTGTGTAAAGTGTTTCTGCATGTGTGTAAAGTGTTTCTGCATGTGTGTAAAGTGTTTCTGCATGTGTGTAAAGTGTTTCTGCATGTGTGTAAAGTGTGTAAAGTGTTTCTGCATGTGTGTAAAGTGTTTCTGCATGTGTGTAAAGTGTTTCTGCATGTGTGTAAAGTGTTTCTGCATGTGTGTAAAGTGTTTCTGCATGTGTGTAAAGTGTTTATGCATGTGTGTAAAGTGTTTCTGCATGTGTGTAAAGTGTTTCTGCATGTGTGTAAAGTGTTTCTGCATGTGTGTAAAGTGTTTCTGCATGTGTGTAAAGTGTTTATGCATGTGTGTAAAGTGTTTATGCATGTGTGTAAAGTGTTTATACATGTGTGTAAAGTGTTTATGCATGTGTGTAAAGTGTTTCTTGCATTAGTGAGATTCATTGTCAGTCGTGACCAGATGTTAGCTTTCACATGGAGATGCAGAAACCATAAAACTGATCTAATGATGGATATTCTCTTTTCTTGAACTACTTGGCAGGCTTGAGACGTAATAATTATGCGAAGCTCTTCAAAGAGCGTTCCAGGTGCTCGTGACAAGCCCAAACACAGTTCCTCAAGAGAACCTCACAACCACAGACCTGCCAGGACTGTGTGAACTCATGCAGCTTCAACATCAGATTCATCAAGATGCACTAACCTTATAAATCCCCCTGGATCATATTTGATACGCAAAATGCCTCTAAATGATCAAAGCTTTGTTTGCACTAAATAGTTTACAGTGTTTTATCAGTAAAAGCTCTTAACTGTACAGACGTCCTCCTTCAGCTCGAGCTTCACGTGTCTTTAAATCTGCTCTGATTTTCATCAAGTAAACGCAAGAATAACTTTGATATCGTTATTAATATTTCAACTGAACTGAGGTTTACTTGATTATCCATCATCATTTATTAGAAAAAACACGAGTATCAAATATGATCATCAGGCTTTTGAGGAAGGTTTATTTGTTCGTCTCTCGATCATCTTTGTATTGCATTGCATTCTATGTTTTAAAACTGTACAGAGCTTTGATCATAAAACTAAGCATTTAAATATCATCTTACTAAGACATATTATTGATAGATATGGATATTTATATGCATTTTATGCAAGTTATATTATTATAAAGATCTCATTGATTTACATTACAAGCGTCAGAATTTTAAATAAATGTCAGCATCTGCACTAAATTGCGTCATCGTCTTTGGGGCTCTGAATAAAAGTGCCCTGAATCTCCCGTCTCCCCGCTGGTTCCGCATGTCACCTGTGATCCCTCCCTGCCTCCGCTGATTCCCTTTAGCCTCTCTGCATCTCCTACACCATTCTGGGTGGATCTGCATTGGAGCTCGGGGAAGAGAAAGGCGGAGCGATGGGATTCTTCATAGTGGGCGGAGATGTTGACCTGCATCATCTCCGCCCAGTATGAAGAATCCCATTGCTCCGCCTCCAGTCTTAGGACCCATCGTCTCCACCTCGACCTGTCGAGTCATCGTCTCCCTCGACCTGTCGACCCGTCGTCTTCACCTCGACCTGTCGACCCGTCGTCTCCACCTCGACCTGTCGACCCATCGTCTCCACCTTGACCTGTCGACCCGTCGTCTCCACCTTGACCTGTCGAGTCATCGTCTCCACCTTGACCTGTCGACCCATCGTCTCCACCTCGACCTGTCGACCCATCGTCTCCACCTCGACCTGTCGACCCATCGTCTCCACCTCGACCTGTCGACCCGTCGTCTCCACCTCGACCTGTCGACCCGTCGTCTCCACCTCGACCTGTCGACCCGTCGCTCCACCTCGACCTGTCGACCCGTCGTCTCCACCTCGACCTGTCGAGTCATCGTCTCCACCTCGACCTGTCGACCCGTCGTCTCCACCTCGACCTGTCGACCCGTCGTCTCCACCTTGACCTGTCGAGTCATCGTCTCCACCTTGACCTGTCGACCCATCGTCTCCACCTCGACCTGTCGAGTCATCGTCTCCCTCGACCTGTCGACCCATCGTCTCCACCTTGACCTGTCGAGTCATCGTCTCCACCTCGACCTGTCGACCCATCGTCTCCACCTCGACCTGTCGACCCATCGTCTCCACCTCGACCTGTCGACCCATCGTCTCCACCTCGACCTGTCGACCCGTCGTCTCCACCTCGACCTGTCGACCCGTCGTCTCCACCTCGACCTGTCGACCCGTCGTCTCCACCTCGACCTGTCGACCCGTCGCTCCACCTCGACCTGTCGACCCGTCGTCTCCACCTCGACCTGTCGACCCATCGTCTCCACCTCGACCTGTCGACCCATCGCTCCACCTCGACCTGTCGACCCGTCGTCTCCACCTCGACCTGTCGACCCATCGTCTCCACCTCGACCTGTCGAGTCATCGTCTCCACCTCGACCTGTCGACCCGTCGTCTCCACCTCGACCTGTCGAGTCATCGTCTCCCTCGACCTGTCGACCCGTCGTCTCCACCTTGACCTGTCGAGTCATCGTCTCCACCTTGACCTGTCGACCCATCGTCTCCACCTCGACCTGTCGAGTCATCGTCTCCCTCGACCTGTCGACCCATCGTCTCCACCTTGACCTGTCGAGTCATCGTCTCCACCTTGACCTGTCGACCCATCGTCTCCACCTCGACCTGTCGACCCATCGTCTCCACCTCGACCTGTCGACCCGTCGTCTCCACCTCGACCTGTCGACCCGTCGTCTCCACCTCGACCTGTCGACCCGTCGTCTCCACCTCGACCTGTCGACCCGTCGTCTCCACCTCGACCTGTCGACCCGTCGTCTCCACCTCGACCTGTCGACCCGTCGTCTCCACCTCGACCTGTCGACCCGTCGTCTCCACCTCGACCTGTCGACCCGTCGTCTCCACCTCGACCTGTCGACCCATCGCTCCACCTCGACCTGTCGACCCATCGTCTCCACCTCGACCTGTCGACCCGTCGTCTCCACCTTGACCTGTCGAGTCATCGTCTCCACCTCGACCTGTCGACCCGTCGTCTCCACCTCGACCTGTCGAGTCATCGTCTCCCTCGACCTGTCGACCCGTCGTCTTCACCTCGACCTGTCGACCCGTCGTCTCCACCTCGACCTGTCGACCCATCGTCTCCACCTCGACCTGTCGACCCGTCGTCTCCACCTCGACCTGTCGACCCGTCGTCTCCACCTCGACCTGTCGTCCCATCGTCTCCACCTCGACCTGTCGACCCATCGCTCCACCTCGACCTGTCGACCCGTCGTCTCCACCTCGACCTGTCGACCCATCGTCTCCACCTTGACCTGTCGAGTCATCGTCTCCACCTCGACCTGTCGACCCGTCGTCTCCACCTCGACCTGTCGACCCATCGTCTCCACCTAGACCTGTCGAGTCATCGTCTCCACCTCGACCTGTCGACCCGTCGTCTCCACCTCGACCTGTCGACCCGTCGTCTCCACCTCGACCTGTCGTCCCATCGTCTCCACCTCGACCTGTCGACCCATCGCTCCACCTCGACCTGTCGACCCGTCGTCTCCACCTCGACCTGTCGACCCATCGTCTCCACCTCGACCTGTCGAGTCATCGTCTCCACCTCGACCTGTCGACCCGTCGTCTCCACCTCGACCTGTCGACCCATCGTCTCCACCTAGACCTGTCGAGTCATCGTCTCCACCTCGACCTGTCGACCCATCGTCTCCACCTCGACCTGTCGACCCATCGTCTCCACCTCGACCTGTCGACCCGTCGTCTCCACCTCCCATCGTCTCCACCTCGACCTGTCGACCCATCGCTCCACCTCGACCTGTCGACCCGTCGTCTTCACCTCGACCTGTCGACCCATCGTCTCCACCTCGACCTGTCGACCCGTCGTCTTCAACTCGACCTGTCGACCCGTCGTCTCCACCTCGACCTGTCGACCCATCGTCTCCACCTCGACCTGTCGACTCATCGTCTCCACCTTGACCTGTCGACCCATCGTCTCCACCTTGACCTGTCGACCCTCTGGCCCCTCCTACTCCTGTCTTCCCTCTGGCTCCTCCTACTCCTGGCTTCCCTCTGGCCCCTCCTACTCCTGGCTTCCCTCTGGCTCCTCCTACTCCTGTCTTCCCGCTGGCTTCTCCTACTCCTGGCTTCCTTCTGGCTCCTTCTACTCCTGGCTTCCCTCTGACTCGTCCTACTCCTGGCTTTCCTATGGGTCCTCCTACTCCTGGCTTCCTTCTAGCTCCTTCTACTCCTGGCTTCCCTCTGGCTCCTTCTACTCCTGGCTTCCCTCTGGCTCCTCCTACTCCTGGGTTCCCTCTGGCTCCTCCTACTCCTGGGTTCCCTCTGGCTCCTCCTACTCCTGGCTTCCCTCTGGCTCCTCCTACTCCTGGCTTCCCTCTGACTCCTCCTACTCCTGGCTTCCCTCTGGCTCCTCCTACTCCTGGCTTCCCTCTGGCTCCTCCTACTCCTGGCTTCCCTCTGGCTCCTCCTACTCCTGGCTTCCTTCTAGCTCCTTCTACTCCTGGCTTCCCTCTGGGTCCTCCTACTCCTGGCTTCCTTCTAGCTCCTTCTACTCCTGGCTTCCCTCTGGCTCCTCCTACTCCTGGCTTCCTTCTGGCTCCTTCTACTCCTGGCTTCCTTCTAGCTCCTTCTACTCCTGTCTTCCCTCTGGCTCCTCCTACTCCCAGCTTCCCTCTGGCTCCTCCTACTCCTGTCTTCTCTCTGGCTCCTCCTACTCCTGTATTCCCTCTGGCTCCTCCCACCCTCCACTCCCCCATGGACTGCATTGTTTGCACTGGACAAGCTTTTTATTTTCCCTTCTCCATCATTCTGTTCACCTGTTTTCTAATTAATTAGCCTATTTGTCTCTTGTTTGGTTTAGTATTTATAGTTCTGTGTTTCCTGAGTTTTTTTTTTGTCCTGTCTACATTAATGTTGAGGTGTGTGTGTGTGGGACCCATTTCCCTGTGTGTTCCTGAGTAAGTTTTATATTAAAGACTGTTTCATGATCCTTTGTCATGTGCTACTTTTATATAAACACCTGTGACTATATTTGTATATATACTGTATATATATTTTTTCAGTTACATTTGTATGCTGAAGAATGTACAAATGTCTATATATTTTTAAATAGGCATGATTACTAAAATGAATCAGTTTGTCATAACTTGTGAATTTACTAATGAAATCATCCTGTGTTGTTGTGACTGTTGAATTCCTTTAAATTGCAATTAACGAGTTCGTTTGCCCATAAAATCTTTAAGATATTAGGTTAAACTTATTTGGCTTGCTGTCCGCTGGAGAGGGGCTTGATGAAGCAGCTTCAACTCGAGCTCTGATATACCCCCCAGTGGCTAAATGTAGGACCTGTTAATTAAAGGGCAAGGTCCCTAAGGTGAAGGTGGAGTTTTGGGAGGTGGAGGGATACTGGAACAGCTGATACTAGGGAGAGGTAAGCGGCTGCTTATATACTCTGTTTGTTGATTGAAAGATTGGATGGGCTCGCTCCTCCCTAACTTACGTTTAGGAACTTCATTTAAGTAAATTCAACTTCCTGAATATTGTGTATATTCAAATTCACATTCATGAATAAAAAGTATTTATTCTTTCATTCTGAATTTCCCTCAAAGCAGGTTTTCTTTCTCCTGAAGCGTGAAGTGAGTTGTTTGACGCGACACCATCAATCTAGACGTCATGGATTTAGTTTCAGAGAGAAGACGTCTGAAACACCCCCACTAACCCTAACCAACAAAACACTTCCAGCCCTTCCGTCACTCAACTCAATGACATCTGGAATTTCAACAAGACGAGAGAGAGAGAGAGAGAGAGAGAGAGAGAGAGAGAGAGAGAGAGAGAGAGAGACTGCAGACTTTAATCTTAGACTCTTGCTGGAATCAAACTACAAGGAAAAGCAAACAGAAGAGAAAAGAACAGCAGAGAAATAAAGAGGCTTGCTTTTAAACATGAAACATTTGCCATGGATCAGCGCTTTGTCATTCCTGCTTTATTTTTCCTTGGGAACTGCAGATTACAGGTAAGAAGCTTCTCCTGGTTAAAGTTGTGGAGAAAATGCTATTGCTCTTGGTTTCATTTGAGTTTCAGCTAGTTTATATCCATATCTGGTTGCAGACTTTAGTTTGAGAGATTCTCCTGCAGCTCTAGAGGAGAAACGTGTAAGATGACTGATCAAACATCTGAGAAACTAATGAGATCTGCTTCGGTATACACATAACACTGCAGTTTCCATAAGATTAAAGAGGAGACCGTGATTAATGTGCATAAACATTTGTGACCAATGCAACTTTTTTGATTAAGGACAATTAATGAATTTCAGTAAAGCTGAATACATTTTGCACCTACAGTATTGGACAAAGGTGACGATATTTGTTTTTAATGAAAGGACAAGTTCAAAATATGAGGAAAATATTTTTAAAACATGTTAAATGTGAGGAGAGAACAAATCACTAAACTTGTTTAAGGTATTTATCTGACAAAATTATTTGGCAAAAGTGTCAAACTACAGCTACAGGATTATTTTACTATGCAAAAAAAAAATGCACAAGAAGCTGAGAGGAAAAAGCAAACATTGACTATAATATAATCAGTTATTAATATTTGGTACGTTCTCTCGTTTTTTTTTGCATGTGTTCATAATTTCTTTGCCTGGACAAAAATGATGTCGCACAATTTGTCATGTTTCATTGCGTTATTATCACACATAAAACAATCGACTCGAGGGCACAACTACACAACATGACTACAAAATCAATAATAATATTTGAATAAACGATGAAGATTTTCCTAAGCTGGACACTAGTGTAAATGGCTGTCAATTATCAAATCAAATCACGATTGAATACTAAAGTAGCTGTAAATGAGTAGATTTGAAGTAAATATCTGTTGATTTCTGAGTAAATGTGCAGACGAGCTGCTAATTCTGTCGGTAATGAAGCGGCGGCACCTGTTCACACGACCGGCTCCCGGGTTATTTCCGTCAGTTTTATTTCGGTCAGTCCACAGGTTCTCCTCGTCCCTCTGGAGCCACACCAGATTTAGACCAACATGAGAAGCTCGCAGAATTACAAACATCTGGAACACTTATGCACTTCAGGTTGTTATGTTACATATTATGTCGTTATATGAATGCAGTATTTCAGTATTAGCATTGTTTTGTATTTGTGTGTGTATATATTTACCTCAAGCTACATTTTCTACTGTAAATTTAAGTTTAATATGTAAAACTTAAAATGTTGTTTATATGGAGAGGATCTAGTAACCAGAGCTGCCAGTGTTTACTGTCAATTTCACTGTTGTTGTTTGTCACAGGCTTTAGTTGCTAGGCAGATGGGATTGGGGGAGGGGCCTGCTTATTCTAGAGAGCATTTGATTGGACAAAAATTTGCATAGTGCAGGATGAGTCATCAGTATTATCTTTGATCTGTTTTTGGTCCAGGAAGAGAACAATTTTAAAATGTGTATATTTGCTTAAAGTTAGTATTATTATCATTATTGGTTACACTTTATTTTAACTTATTCACTTATTAATATAATTAACTGCACGTACTGACTATAAGGTTAGGGTTTGGTTTATGGTTCGTTGCATGTAATTATGCATAATTTATAGTTATTATTACAGTAATACATGTAACAAGGACACTGTAAAATAAAGTGTTACCTTATTTCCATTTTAGTTGTTCATTTGCATACAACTGATCACAACGATAACAGGATGAACTTAAAAGCCACAAAAATCCAAATCACATTATAATAGTGTCATTTTTCAGCTCAATTCCATTCAATGTTGATTTAGTTCTGGTCAATAACACAGTCGGTGTTGCTAAATTCATGTCACGTTTAATTCAGTTCAAGTTTTGTTCTTATCTGATAGTATCAGTGCAGTTGCATCCAAAATATTGCTGAATATTAATTTTCTTCTAAACCTTTTGAATATTAATTGTAAGTTTGCAATACAATCTTTGTAACCCTATATTATATATATAATCTGATATGGTGTTTTTGCAACGATGCAATGTTTGTATGTGTAGCGGCTGGACGAAGTTGAGAAATGTTTAACTTTATGCAAATGAGGAGATATATAATGTATTTAATGATATAATTAAAAAATGTTGCATGCAAAACTTCTCTACATAATGACGAAGACATATGCTGTTCATCTTGTTCATTACAGATGCGTTATGCACTGATGCGATTTAATTAATTTACAAATTAAATCTCATTCATTTCTCAAGCTAACAAACAAAAAAATATAATCTAAGAACATTTTGCATTAAGAAGTGTTCTGTGAATGTTGAAAACGTCCAGTTTTTTAAAACGTTCTAATGTTATTCTAATTCTAATGTTTTTTCTCGGTAATTCATTATGTATCTGCTAACATTATGGGAACGTCACTTTTGAATTTCTCTCAACATTCTGAAACATGTAACATTTAAAAAATGTTAGAATAAACATCCAACAAAAATGTTTCAGAAAAAATGTTCCATGACCGATATATAAGACGTATTATAATTAGGCCTGTACAAAAGCAGGAGTGCTTCAGAAAGGTTGTGAAAAACGAAAGAGCTCCTTTAAAACCTGTTGAACTGCAGGATCTGAGAGCCGGACTGTGATTGTGAAGCGTTCCTGGACACATGTTGAAGTGTTGTGCTCAAACTCCTGCATCTAAAGTGTGATTCCCATCCACACAGCAGGCTTTAATCACAGGAGGAGACTTCATCTGCCCCTGCTATAGCACCTGTTAAACGCTGAGGAGATGCAAGAGGGTCGTTCGTGAGCACTCGTCATGTCTGTGTTTTCCAGCTCATCTTCAGATCGCCTCGAGGAACCCTGTGACCACACTGCAGACATGCTGCTCTTCCTCAGCGCTGTCTCGTTTTACTGCACTAATATATCAGCATTCCTGAATCAAGACACAGTTACTGCAGAAGTGGAATGACTGAAGATATGAAGTGTTGTTGAATGAAAATATCATACAAATGAAGTGAGTTTTTGCTTGAAACGATAAAAGAGTCAGAAAATAAACTTAATTCGAAGGGAAACTATTTTTCTGACCCCACTGGCAGATATCCCTATCGTTTTAATACAAACTCACTTCATTTTTAGAATTTTTTTCTTTTGCAATGCAAAAGATTATTTTGCTTTCATATTGTCACATTTAGATGAGGGCTCTATATTGAACTTTATAGGGTTCTTGACTCTTAAGAGTGTGTAAATAGTCAAGTCATGTCAAGTCATGTCATGTCAAGTGATGTCATGTCATGTCAAGTGATGTCATGTCAAGTCATGTAATGTCATGTCAAGTCATTTCAATTCATGTCAAGTCATGTAATGTCAAGTCATGTAATGTAATGTCAAGTCATGTCAAGTCATGTCAAGTCATGTCATGTCATGTCATGTCAAGTCATTTCAATTCATGTCAAGTCAAGTCATTTCAATTCATGTCAAGTCATGTAATGTCATGTCAAGTCATGTAACGTAATGTCAAGTCATGTCATGTCAAGTCATGTCATGTCAAGTCATTTCAATTCATGTCAAGTCAAGTCATTTCAATTCATGTCAAGTCAAGTCATTTCAATTCATGTCAAGTCATGTCAAGTCATGTAATGTAATGTAATGTAATGTCAAGTCATGTCATGTCATGTCAAGTCATTTCAATTCATGTCAAGTCAAGTCAAGTCATTTCAATTCATGTCAAGTCATGTCAAGTCATGTAATGTAATGTAATGTCAAGTCATGTCATGTCAAGTCATGTCATGTCAAGTCATTTCAATTCATGTCAAGTCAAGTCAAGTCATTTCAATTCATGTCAAGTCATGTAATGTCAAGTCATGTCATGTCATGTCATGTCAAGTCGAGTCTCCTTCATCTATACAGCGCTGTAACAGTATAGAGTTTCACAGCAGCTTTACAGTGATAACAGGAGATTACAGTAACAGAGAGTGTTTAGGCTTTACAGCAGCTCTAGAATAAAGTTATTGTCCAGATAAAGTTAGTTTTGATTGATTCACTTCTGTTGTAAAGATCATTAGTTATTAACTTAGGGGCCGCTAACACGACACTGTTCTAACAGAAACCCTTAACGCGCTCCGGCTCATTCACACACAACAGTAAAGTGTTTGTGAATAACTGCTGTGTTCCTGCTGTTCCGGACAGAGAGCGCCGGCAGACCGCGGTGAGGAGTGTGTCAGGCGTGAGGAGTGTGTCAGGTGTGTGTCGATACGGCAGCAGAGTCGAGTGTTGCTACGGCTGGAAGAAGAGCAGTAAAGGACACTGTGAAGGTGAACGAGTGCGCATGCACAGAATGAGGATTTACCAGAACGAATGCTCTTTTATTGCATTATTGCATTGGGATAAAACATATTGACTTTGCTCACACAGAGCAACAACTTCCCAAACATTTTCAGATAATTTTTGTAATCATTATTTCGACTTAGTATGTCATATAATTGACTTTTTAATTCATTATTTCAAATTAGTATGTCATACTTATGATTTTTGTCATTATTTTGACTTAGTATGTCATTATTTCGACTTAGTATGTCATTATTTCGACTTAGTATATCTATTAGGATATCTATCTCTGCTGTTGAATGTTTCCCCAGCTCAGTGTGATCTGGGATGCACACACGGCGAGTGTGTCGGGCCCAACAAGTGCAAGTGCTTCCCCGGATACACTGGGAAGACGTGCAGCCAAGGTCAGTGCGCTTCAGGACACACACTCTCAGATGCAGAGGCTCACAACACTTTATGCTTATCTATATAAGAAGAAATGCCTAAAATGATTGCATCATATTTTCATGTTTAACAAGTTATTTAAAATGTTTTCCTAGTGATAAAGTATGTTTGCGGGCTGATTAACTAATAAAATGTAATTAAAAATGAATTAAAACTAAAAAAATTAACTAAATACATAAAATGATCAACATTAAAATAATTATGAGTAAAATTATTACTTTGTCAAAATGATGACTGGCATCATTTTGACTTTCATGTTATAGACTTATTGAGTCATAATTTCAACTTTTTAATGTCATAATTTAGACATATTATGTCATAATTATGATTTTTATGTCATTATTTCGACTTAGTATGTCATAATTTACTTTTTAAGTCGTTATTTCAACTAAGTTGACTTAGTATGTCATAATTATGATTTTTTTAATGTCATTATTTCGACTTAGTATGTCAATTATAAATGTTATGTCATTATTTTGACTTAGTATGTCATACTTATGATTTTTATGTCATTATTTCGACTTAAGTATTAACATAATTAACATCATTTTTACTTTTTAAGTCAGAATTTAGAATTTTTGTCACTATTTTTACTTAAGTATTAACATAATTAACATGTCATCATTTTTACTTTTTAAGTCAGAATTGAGAATTTTTGTCATCATTTTGACTTAAGTATTAACATAATTAACATCATTTTTACTTTTTAAGTCAGAATTTAGAATTTTTGTCATCATTTTGACTTAAGTATTAACTGAACGACCTCTGTCTTCCTCCTGGGTCAGATCTGAACGAGTGTGGTCTGAAGCCTCGACCCTGTGAGCATCGATGCATGAACACTTTCGGCAGCTACATGTGCTACTGCTTAAACGGATACATGCTAATGTCTGACGGGTCCTGCGCAAGTGAGTGACTCTATCAGCAACATAGTGTCGGCCCACATCCGGCCCACATCTGGTACACTTGGATTCCACACGGTCCAGATGTGGGCCGGATCTGGACCGACGCTTTGTGTCTGTATATTCAAACGTTTAAATCAATAGTTCACCCAAACATATTAAAGTTATGTCAAGTCAAGTCTCCTTTATTTATATAGAGCTTTTCACAACACAGAGTGTTTCAAAGCAGCTTTACAGAGATAACAGGAAAATAGTCCACATGTCACAGTCCACATGTTTCATTTCTGTTTCAAAACGTTATTTATTTAGTTCATTTATATATATAGATGTCATCGTCCAGCTCAGTTCAGTTCTCATATAATGCTGTCAATGCAGGAGATCAATGATATTGTAGAATATTAAATGAATGAATTAAATGTCATTATTTCCTCATGCTTATGTTCTTAAAAGGACCAAAAAGCAATATATTCAAACGTTTAAATGCCCTTGATACAAAAACGTCCTAAAAGTCTCTCTGTGACCCCCTGTGCGTGCGCGAGCTAAACGGCTGCGATGCGAGAGCTGTGTGCTGCAGTGACCTGTGCTTGTCCTCAGACTCCAGGACCTGTTCTGTGGCTCACTGTCAGTACGGCTGTGAGGAGGTCCAGGCCGAGGTGCGGTGTCTGTGCCCGTCCCCGGGCCTCCAGCTGGGACCCGACGCCAAGACCTGCGTGGGTGAGGACACGCTCTTCACATCTCTGCTCCAGGGCAGAGCTTCGGTTTCACTCTTAATCACGCTTCTTTACTGTTGCATTGATGGTTCCATGAAGAACCTTTAACCTTTAACGGATCTTCAGATCAGTGTGTTGCTCTATGAGAGAGGCAGTTTTCAGTTTCACTGATACTTATGATTTTATGTCATTATTTTCGACTTAGTATGTCATTATTTCGACTTAGTATGTCATTATTTCGACTTAGTATGTCATTATTTCGACTTAGTATGTCATTATTTCGACTTAGTATGTCATACTTATGTTTTTTTATGTCATTATTTCGACTTAGTATGTCATACTTATGTTTTTTATTTCGACTTAGTATGTCTTACTTATGTTTTTTGTCATTATTTCGACTTAGTATGTCATTATTTCGACTTAGTATGTCATACTTATGTTTTTTATTTCGACTTAGTATGTCATACTTATGTTTTTTGTCATTATTTCGACTTAGTATGTCATACTTATGTTTTTTATGTCATTATTTCGACTTAGTATGTCATACTTATGTTTTTTATTTCGACTTAGTATGTCATACTTATGTTTTTTATGTCATTATTTCGACTTAGTATGTCATACTTATGTTTTTTATTTCGACTTAGTATGTCATACTTATGTTTTTTATTTCGACTTAGTATGTCATACTTATGTTTTTTGTCATTATTTCGACTTAGTATGTCATTATTTCGACTTAGTATGTCATACTTATGTTTTTTATTTCGACTTAGTATGTCATACTTATGTTTTTTGTCATTATTTCGACTTAGTATGTCATTATTTCGACTTAGTATGTCATACTTATGTTTTTTATGTCATTATTTCGACTTATTATGTCATACTTATGTTTTTTATTTCGACTTAGTATGTCATACTTATGTTTTTTATTTCGACTTAGTATGTCATACTTATGTTTTTTGTCATTATTTCGACTTAGTATGTCATTATTTCGACTTAGTATGTCATACTTATGTTTTTTTATGTCATTATTTCGACTTAGTATGTCATACCGTAAAACTTCAAATAATAGCCGAGTCCCAAATAGACGCCTGTCTCTTTTACACGCCTGGTGTGGCTGCAGGTTTGGGTAAATAAAGGCCGGTCTCAAATAGAGGCCGGGTCTGTTTTTTTTAGTTTCGGGTTGTATTTAACCTTCTAAAACCCGTCAGATCGTCCGCTTTTTGGCGGCCGAAAAAGCAAATTTGTGTCCCGCCAAGCCAAAGCCTTTTTTGATCGGTGAGTGATGTAGCGCTTGACAGGGCGCATAACGAGCAGAGAGCGCGCCCCGGCCGCGCGCGCGCACTCTCACGTCTTCATACAACACGAGCGCTGCCTTGCTCTCTCTCCCTCGCGCATATTAATCAAAATCAATTGACACGATAGTAAAAGGTCGGAAAGACAGCAGTTTCACGTGGAGCATTTGGAGATTTTTTAGAGATTCGAGACTCTAGGCTTACACTCAATGAACAACATCTCAACACTAAATTATAAAGGCCGGTCTCATATAGACGCCCGTCTCAAATACAAGCCGGTGCAGTTCGACGATTTGGGAAAATAAAAGCCCGGGCAATTATTTGAAGTTTTACGGTACTTATGTTTTTTATTTCGACTTAGTATGTCATACTTATGTTTTTTGTCATTATTTCGACTTAGTATGTCATTATTTCGACTTAGTATGTCATACTTATGTTTTTTGTCATTATTTCGACTTAGTATGTCATACTTATGTTTTTTATGTCATTATTTCGACTTAGTATGTCATACTTATGTTTTTTATTTCGACTTAGTATGTCATACTTATGTTTTTTATTTTGACTTAGTATGTCATACTTATGTTTTTTGTCATTATTTCGACTTAGTATGTCATTATTTCGACTTAGTATGTCATACTTATGTTTTTTATTTCGACTTAGTATGTCATACTTATGTTTTTTGTCATTATTTCGACTTAGTATGTCATTATTTCGACTTAGTATGTCATACTTATGTTTTTTATGTCATTATTTCGACTTATTATGTCATACTTATGTTTTTTATTTCGACTTAGTATGTCATACTTATGTTTTTTATTTCGACTTAGTATGTCATACTTATGTTTTTTGTCATTATTTCGACTTAGTATGTCATTATTTCGACTTAGTATGTCATACTTATGTTTTTTTATGTCATTATTTCGACTTAGTATGTCATACCGTAAAACTTCAAATAATAGCCGAGTCCCAAATAGACGCCTGTCTCTTTTACACGCCTGGTGTGGCTGCAGGTTTGGGTAAATAAAGGCCGGTCTCAAATAGAGGCCGGGTCTGTTTTTTTTAGTTTCGGGTTGTATTTAACCTTCTAAAACCCGTCAGATCGTCCGCTCTTTGGCGGCCGAAAAAGCAAATTTGTGTCCCGCCAAGCCAAAGCCTTTTTTGATCGGTGAGTGATGTAGCGCTTGACAGGGCGCATAACGAGCAGAGAGCGCGCCCCGGCCGCGCGCGCGCACTCTCACGTCTTCATACAACACGAGCGCTGCCTTGCTCTCTCTCCCTCGCGCATATTAATCAAAATCAATTGACACGATAGTAAAAGGTCGGAAAGACAGCAGTTTCACGTGGAGCATTTGGAGATTTTTTAGAGATTCGAGACTCTAGGCTTACACTCAATGAACAACATCTCAACACTAAATTATAAAGGCCGGTCTCATATAGACGCCCGTCTCAAATACAAGCCGGTGCAGTTCGACGATTTGGGAAAATAAAAGCCCGGGCAATTATTTGAAGTTTTACGGTACTTATGTTTTTTATTTCGACTTAGTATGTCATACTTATGTTTTTTGTCATTATTTCGACTTAGTATGTCATTATTTCGACTTAGTATGTCATACTTATGTTTTTTGTCATTATTTCGACTTAGTATGTCATACTTATGTTTTTATGTCATTATTTCGACTTAGTATGTCATACTTATGTTTTTTATTTCGACTTAGTATGTCATACTTATGTTTTTTATTTCGACTTAGTATGTCATACTTATGTTTTTTGTCATTATTTCGACTTAGTATGTCATTATTTCGACTTAGTATGTCATACTTATGTTTTTTATTTCGACTTAGTATGTCATACTTATGTTTTTTGTCATTATTTCGACTTAGTATGTCATTATTTCGACTTAGTATGTCATACTTATGTTTTTTATGTCATTATTTCGACTTATTATGTCATACTTATGTTTTTTATTTCGACTTAGTATGTCATACTTATGTTTTTTATTTCGACTTAGTATGTCATACTTATGTTTTTTGTCATTATTTCGACTTAGTATGTCATTATTTCGACTTAGTATGTCATACTTATGTTTTTTTATGTCATTATTTCGACTTAGTATGTCATACCGTAAAACTTCAAATAATAGCCGAGTCCCAAATAGACGCCTGTCTCTTTTACACGCCTGGTGTGGCTGCAGGTTTGGGTAAATAAAGGCCGGTCTCAAATAGAGGCCGGGTCTGTTTTTTTTAGTTTCGGGTTGTATTTAACCTTCTAAAACCCGTCAGATCGTCCGCTTTTTGGCGGCCGAAAAAGCAAATTTGTGTCCCGCCAAGCCAAAGCCTTTTTTGATCGGTGAGTGATGTAGCGCTTGACAGGGCGCATAACGAGCAGAGAGCGCGCCCCGGCCGCGCGCGCGCACTCTCACGTCTTCATACAACACGAGCGCTGCCTTGCTCTCTCTCCCTCGCGCATATTAATCAAAATCAATTGACACGATAGTAAAAGGTCGGAAAGACAGCAGTTTCACGTGGAGCATTTGGAGATTTTTTAGAGATTCGAGACTCTAGGCTTACACTCAATGAACAACATCTCAACACTAAATTATAAAGGCCGGTCTCATATAGACGCCCGTCTCAAATACAAGCCGGTGCAGTTCGACGATTTGGGAAAATAAAAGCCCGGGCAATTATTTGAAGTTTTACGGTACTTATGTTTTTTATTTCGACTTAGTATGTCATACTTATGTTTTTTGTCATTATTTCGACTTAGTATGTCATTATTTCGACTTAGTATGTCATACTTATGTTTTTTGTCATTATTTCGACTTAGTATGTCATTATTTCGACTTAGTATGTCATACTTATGTTTTTTTATGTCGTTATTTCGACTTAGTATGTCATACTTATGTTTTTATTTCGAATTAGTATGTCATACTTATGTTTTTTTATGTCATTATTTCGACTTAGTATGTCATACTTAGGTTTTTTTGTCATTATTTCAACTTAGTATGTCATACTTAGGTTTTTTATGTCATTATTTCGACTTAGTATGTCATTATTTCAACTTAGTATGTCATACTTATGTTTTTTTGTCATTATTTTGACTTGGTATGTCATAATTTAGTCTTTTTAGGTCAGAATTTTGAATTTGTGTCATTATTTTAACTTAATATTTCAAATATGTTCTTATATCATTATTTTGACTATGTCATAATTATCCGTGTGGGGGAGAACCGGCTCTTCAGATCAATGTGTTGCTCGGTTTGCACTGATTCCATATCAACATAGTGTCGGCCCACATCCGGATTCCACACACACTATGTTGCTGTCTGTGATTGATGTTAACTGTTCTTAATGGAACCATCAATGCAACAAAAGAACCTTTACTTTTAAGAGTCACCTGTAAAAAATTATCGTGATTTTAACGGTAAAAGACTGTAAAAATGCTACTGTGAAAAACTGTTAATTGGTTAGTTTCTGTACTATATACGGTTAATAACTGTGATAGAACTAACTGTAGATTTAATGTAATTTTACAGTATGTCATAATTATGATTTTTTTTGTCATTATTTCGACTTAGTATGTCATAATTATGACTTTTCAAGTCAGACATTCCCACAATTCCCTGCATGACACTTCGCATTTTATGTATTTTCGTTGAAATAACTGTTTCTTCATAGTTTTTCTTAGTTTTTTCTAATCAGTCATGTAGGTACATTAGGGTTTTATATTACATTTAATGTTGTTAACTTAATATTTATTGCATTTTTTAAATGTCATGTGTGTTATCATGATGGTGTTTAGTGTGTGTGTGTGAATGACACTGCAGCTTCTATATGTTATTATTAACTTTCTCATCTTGTGGAAAAACCTAAAATGTTGCTACCGTATTTTTTACGGTAAATTTCTGGCAACCAGAGCTGCCTGTTTTTACCGTACATTTAACGAGGGAAAAACGGTAATTTAGAATAGATTATTAAAATGTTCTTTACACTAAAAAATGTTTTATTTTAAGAATGTTTTCTAAAATGTTTTCTTCATGGCATCGCTGAATCAACAACAGGAGAAATCATATAACGCAGTGTGTTCAGATGTTGCATTAACTCTTGTCGTTTCCCTCATTGCCTTCTTTAGACATTGATGAATGTGCAACCGGGAAAAATCAATGTCCGTTCAACCGGCAGTGCATCAACACATTCGGGAGCTACTACTGCAAGTGCCAGGAGGGTTACGACCTCACATACGTCAGTGGCAAATACGACTGTGTTGGTAAGAGAAACTGTGTAACTTACTGTTATGACTGAGCAATTCTATCGCATTCTGGGAGAAAAACTCTCCATTTATGAGCTCTGGAGTCGTTTAGTGATCATATCTGCTTCTGTGCAAGAGACAAATCAGAAGCAGATCATGTTGAATGGTGGAATTTAAAGCGAAGAACTAAACTAAGCATTCTTAACTCAAGACACATTTTACTGGAGAAGCAAAACTACCCAAAGCATTAAGTCATGTATGCTTAAAAATGATCAAAATGAAGTGAGTGGGGTCCTTCGGCCCAAATGGACCCGAAGCATTTAAATATATATATATTTTTTAAATCATAGCTTTATCGGAATGGTCCGAAATTTGGTGACTTTGTTGGTACTTGGTATATGAACACCCAAAAAAATTGGGGACAGGATTTGAATAGTCTAAGTGGTTGTAAAAAAGTGCATTTTTTTCGCACAAAAAAAAAGTTTTTTTGTGCGTACAATCTACAAATCAGCCACGATCCAGAAAAAAAGCACACAACAGTGAAGGGGTGAATCTATAAAACATCAAGAGTGCAAAACAGACACATCCACACACACACACACACACACAAACACACTTTTATACACATACACACTAATAAATTCAGATTACATATGGGTTTTGAATTTTTAAAATGCTCAGTTTGTCCACCAGATGGCATCCATCTCATTTCAAAAATTGCTTTCATGAGGCCTAGGCTTGACTCTAAAATGAAATACAGCTTTAAAAAACAAAAACAAAACATTTCTATTATTTTCAATGGGGAAAAAATGGGTCATAATTATTACATTAATATTAATTATAAATCATTTTTATTTTTGAAATTATCTCAAAACACCAAAAAAGAAACGAAAAAATGTTATAAAAAAAACAAGTAAAAAAAAAAAAAGATGATTTTTTTAAAATAAATATTAATCCCACCCTTCCGGCCCATTTGGACCCGAAGGTCCTGAGTGTGACTCTGAAATGAAGGACCCCAGAGGGTTAAGACAAGAGCAAATATCTGTCAGTGGAGTCAGAAAAATCATCTTAATTCAAAGGGAAAACAAGATTATTTCTCTGACTCCACTGACAGATATTTGTTCTTGTTTTAAGCAAAAACTCATTTGGATGATCCCCCCCCCCTAAAATAAGTCTTAAAATCTTCAGTCACTGTTCTTCTCCAGTAAATGTGTCTTGATATAAGAATGTGCTGTAAAACGAGACAGAAACACTGAGGAAGAGCATCATATGCATCTCTTTAATGAAGAATCTTTCAAATGCTTGGGGAAAATTAATAATATACTTCACATGCATAACAGAAAGTTGCTCACCTGAAATGCAAAAGAACATTTTGACTGATTCATGCTTGCTTTGGAGGGCGATAATGAGACTCTGTGATATTTCAGATATTAATGAGTGTGTGTCGGACACACACAAGTGCAGTCTTCACGCCGAGTGCATCAACACACACGGATCCTACAGGTGTAAATGCAAGCAGGGCTTCCGGGGCAGTGGGTTCGACTGTTCAGGTAAGAGAAGACAACACAAAATTCACACGGTTTTAGGAAAAACAAGAAATCTGAGCAACATCCCTCGAATGCTTTGTGTTTTTGTAGTCAAGCCTTTTCCTCACAGATCCTGGGACAGTGATCAGGGAAAAGCGGACGCGTTTCTCAACGGTGAGAAGCAGAGCGAGCGTAGTGTGCATGAAGAGCTTTCCTCTAACTTCTGATCTCAGAACAGGAGAACACCAGCAGTGACACTTCTGCTAGCGCTTTAATGCAACTGGAAACACTTTACAATAAGATCTCATTTGGTAATATTAGTTATGAATTATCTAGGGCTTTAGGGGATTCATTGAATTTTGTTTTAAATTACGAAAACAAAATAATCAAGATCAACTTTGCCACATTCGGCTTCGCAATGATCCTGTCGTTCTGTTCTGTGTTATAAACCCTTAAACCCTTCGCTACGTTTAATTATTTTGATCTAATTTATTGATTATTATATGTATTCATTTATTGATTTGTTATTCTTTTTATAATACATTGATACCTATATAGTGTATTTATATACAGTATAAATATTTATATTAATAATATAAATATAATTTAAAGGTGAAAAATAGATAAATGATCTCTGTGTGTGTGTATATATATATACAGCTGTTTATTAAATAATTTGATTATTTTTAATTACATTTTATTTGATTAAATTACATTTATTGATTTTATTTTATTTATTAATTTATATGATTAAAGGTTTTCTTTTTTGTTAAGTTGCATTTTATTCAATTAAATTTTATTTTTAATGTTTTATTTGTATTAATTATTTTCATTTCATTAATGTTTTATTTATTTATTTCATTTATTTTATTAACTTTTTTATTATTTATTTTATTTTATTTTATTACATTTATAATTTTTAAATTAAATTGTATTTTATCAAATAAAATGTATTTAGTTGATTAATTATTTTTATTTTACACTGATAAAAATACTGATATATATTGAGATATATATATATATATATATATAGAGAGAGAGAGAGAGAGAGAGAGAGAGAGAGTCTGCTATACTGAATATATATTGTCTGCTAAATGCATAATTGTAAATATCGAATATCATCAAAATGTTTTAAAATATCGAGATATACATATTTAGCAGTATCGTCCAGCTCGTTCACTCACTTACTGTTAACAGACGAAACCTTAATATAAAGTGTTAACATGCGACTCATTGCGAACGGCTTCATGCACGGCAGCGATGGGATATTCACTTCGCATGGAGAAGTCTCTGTGTATCCGAACATGCGGTCATGAGCATATAAAGCCCTTGTGTGATTAATGCAATAATGCATGAATCAGTCTCCATATACGCATTTTTGAGTTTTATTTTAAAGATGACATATTATGCCCCTTTCCACAAGATGTAATATAAATCTATGGTGTCACCAGAATGTGTGTGTGAAATTTCAGCTCAAAATACCCAGATCATATAGTTTGTCAAATTGTTGTGTGTGAGCAAAAACAGCCGTTATTGTGTGTGTCCCTTTAAATGCAAATGAGCTTTAGCTCCGCCTCCGTTCAGAAGAGGGCGGAGCCTTCACACGAGCTTCAGAGACTCCGGCAATAACAACACAGGCCGATCTCACTGATCCAGAGTCAGGAGTAACAGCAGCGAGTGCAGCCTTACGGAGAGACTCAGGGAGAGCTTCACTTTTACACGTTTCTGAATGTTAGCGGAGACATTTCTGTAGTTGTTGTGGAGTTACACTGATCATCTCCTCATCATGTTGAACTCTTCCACAAGTGTCCACAGTTCCTGAGGTGTTTATAAGACAGCGCTGACATGTTCTGGTCAATAGTGTTCAGTGTCGTCTGTGCTCGACCACAGAACAGTTTCAGGCTTTGCTGGATCTTCTCCAGTGCGTTAGAACTGGTCTCTGTTGGCGCTCGCCGAACCCAATGTCGCTGGTGTGTGTGAACGTGCAGATTAAGGGCCGGGAATATTATAATAAGATCCTCTTCATACGGCAGAAGGAGTGAAATCTGATTACTGGGTTTCACTTTACATTTTTTCTGTGTTGGTAGAAGCGCGCGATTATAGCACTTACACACGGAGAAAGTCAGTTTAATTGACCCAATGATCTGAGATGATGCACTTTTATGATGGACAGATGCACTTTTATGATGGATAGATGCACTTTTATGATGGACAGATGCACTTTTATGATGGACAGATGCACTTTTATGATGGATAGACGGACTTTTATGATGGATAGATGCACTTTTATGATGGACAGATGCACTTTTATGATGGACAGATGCACTTTTATGATGGATAGATGCACTTTTATGATGGACAGATGCACTTTTATGATGGACAGATGCACTTTTATGATGGACAGATGCACTTTTATGATGGACAGATGCACTTTTATGATGGATAGATGCACTTTTATGATGGACAGATGCACTTTTATGATGGACAGATGCACTTTTATGATGGACAGATGCACTTTTATGATGGACAGATGCACTTTTATGATGGACAGATGCACTTTTATGATGGATAGATGCACTTTTATGATGGACAGATGCACTTTTATGATGGATAGAAGCACTTTTATGATGGACAGATGCACTTTTATGATGGATAGATGCACTTTTATGATGGATAGATGCACTTTTATGATGGATAGATGCACTTTTATGATGGACAGATGCACTTTTATGATGGATAGATGCACTTTTATGATGGACAGATGCACTTTTATGATGGACAGATGCAGATTAAGGGCCGGTAATATTATAATAAGATAAGATCCTCTTCATACGCCAGAAGGAGCGAAATCTGATCGGCTTATTTCAGACATGCTCTCAGAGAAAGACTCACCAGAACAGAGTTACTGGGTTTCACTTTTCACGTGTTCTGTGTCGGTATAAGCGGCGGATTACAGCACTTACACATGGAGAAAGCCAGATGTTCATGATATGTCCGCTTTAATGTCTTTAGAAGATCATTTAACATCAGCACACAGGCTTTCATCCCCGTTTCCTCATGCATTTCCTTTCCCTGCAGTTATTCCCGATTCCCCATCCAAGACTCGTATTCTGGGCCGGTTTGACAACAGCATCCCAGAGCCAGCGGTGACCGACGCTTCTCGCCTCCAGCTGCAACCCTTCGACTACAGCGACGGGCTCTACACCGGCCCTGAGGAGGAGGAGGAGAAGGTGTACGATGAGGAGGAGGAGGACGACACCGGAAACCAGCTGGACCCCCGAGGAGATGTTTTCTGTGAGTGATCCTCGACTCGCACTAAAACTACTCCTCCTATTTATACATGTGGCAGACGCTTTTATCCAAAGCAACTTACATCATATTTCAAGCTACACATTTACATTCTTATCAGTTCTTGCTTTCCCTGGGAATCGAACCCATGACCTTGGCGTTGCAAGCGCTCTTCTGTTTGAGCTGCAGGAAAGCGTCACTGCTGAGTCCACTCATACACACACCGCTCAAAAGAGTCAGTATGTTTATTAATGTTTCTGAGAGAGTCTCTGCTGCTCACAAAAGATGCGTTTATTTGATATGTTTATTTGATTATTGATTTATTTATTTGTAAAAATTGTGAAATATTATTCCAGTGTAAATCAGCTGTTTTGTAAGTGAATATATAGTAGTGTAATTTATTCATGTGATCAAAGCTGCTTTATTTTATCAAAAATACAGTAAAACAGTGTAATATTACTCCAGTGTAAATCATCTGTTCTCTATGTGAATATACAGTAAAGTGTAATTTATTCCTGTGATCAAAGCTGAATTTTCAGCATCATTACTCCAGTCTTCAGTGTCACATGATCCTTCAGAAATCATTCAGCTCCATTTAAATTGACAAAATGATACTTAGTTCAGTTTAGCTCACAATATCAGCACTAATGTTTAGTGCTATTCATAAGACGAGAGGGGTCTGTTTGCAGGGCATGCTGGGACTGAGCCGTACAGTAGCTGTATGGATATCTACTGTACATGTACAGACAGGGAGACTGAGTAAACTTCCCATTCCCAAACACATTCCCGAGATTAATATTTCCCGAGAGGAGAGCAGCGTTGATGTGGTTGCAGGAGGGAAATGCTCATGAAATAAGCGTTTATTAAACTTGTCTCGTCATGTGACTGGAGAAACTGAAGACCATTATCCTTGCAGCATCAATAAACACATTTATTTATAACTTAATTACTTCTTTACACTCCATAAAATGATGTTCTTCCTCAGTATTCAAATCTCATTTTCCAGCACTAATATCTAAAGATTCTTAAATCAGGATACTTTTACTGGAGAAGCAAAATGACTGAAGATATTAAGAATCGTATACTGTAAAAATGTATCAAACAAATAATTAAGATGATTTTTCTGATTTCATTGACAGTTGTTTGTTCTTGTTTCACTTCATTTTTATACATTTTTCAGTCAACAAGATTTAATATCTTCAGTCATTTTGCTTCTCCAGTAAAAGTATCTTGATTTAAGAATGTTTAGATCATTTTTTCCACCACCAAATGGTAATATTATGATTGAATGAGATCATAATTTATACTAAAATTATTATGAAAAACTATACTATACTTATACTAATTTAATTGCTAATTTAATTAAACTTAAACTCTGCATCCGGTTTGCAACGTCAATTCAAATTCATGAACAGACATATTTTGTATAATCAACATACTATTATAGTTTTTATTAAGATTTTGATGTCTATATTTTTTATTCATATTTCAGTTTTAGTTATTTTAGTACTTCAGGTTAAACTAAACGAACATGTTGGCTTGGCAAATAATAATGAAAACAATTTTTTTATATGGTTTTAGTTTTATTTAATGAATTCAATACGAACAATATGGGGTTTCTCTTTTTTATAAATTTTAAAAAGCAAATAACAATAAATTAAAAATCTTACAATATATACATAACTCCACTCTCCTGGCGTTTGTATTTGTTTAACTGAGCCGAATGGATCGGCCTGTGCAGTTCAGAGGTTATTCGGGTCAGATCAGGGGTCAGATCAGGGGTCAGATCCGGGTTCAGATCGAGGGGTCAGATCAGGGGTCAGATCGAGGGTCAGATCAGGGGTCAGATCAGGGGTCAGATCAGGGGTCAGATCAGGGGTCAGATCGAGGGGTCAGATCGAGGGGTCAGATCAGGGGTCAGATCAGGGGTCAGATCGAGGGGTCAAATCGAGGGGTCAGATCAGGGGTCAGATCGAGGGTCAGATCGAGGGGTCAGATCGAGGGTCAGATCAGGGGTCAGATCGAGGGTCAGATCGAGGGGTCAGATCAGGGGTCAGATCAGGGGTCAGATCGAGGGGTCAGATCGAGGGTCAGATCAGGGGTCAGATCGAGGGTCAGATCGAGGGGTCAGATCGAGGGGTCAGATCAGGGGTCAGATCAGGGGTCAGATCGAGGGGTCAGATCGAGGGGTCAGATCAGGGGTCAGATCGAGGGTCAGATCAGGGGTCAGATCGAGGGGTCAGATCGAGGGTCAGATCGAGGGGTCAGATCAGGGGTCAGAGGTCACTCCTGTGTTCCCATGCAACACCAGTGTAGTGTGACCGACCCACAACACGCCGGTGAACTCTATTCACACTCAATAACACACTGTTGACTAATGGCTGTAATATAGAGTTAGCTCACAGAAGCGATCGATCACGCTGTCACACATGATCAATAACTGCTGGAGAAACGCCCTTTAAAGTGCGGGATGGACGTAATAAAGACTGTAATAAAGCATAAAAACACCATAATATGTTTGCAGATATTTAGGAAACACACTTACCTTACCCTAACCCAAAAACTGCAAATGGTTTAACATCACTTTTACAGTACAATTACAAATAACAGTATACATAATATACTTTAAAATTATATAACATTCATATACTATAAAAAAAGTATTATAAAATATACTATAAAAATGTATATACTAAAAAAAAAGTTTTTTGCAAGAAAAAATATGAATTACCATATAATTTACAGTAAAAGAAAACAATAAAAGGACATTCTCAGAAGTCCCAGCATTTTTATTATCAGTAATATACATTAGTGCGATACATGTTATGTAATTTAGTTTATGTTTATTGCATTAAACAAAACAAGACGATGACTAGAACTTGGCTTGACTATAAACAACATAAACTTGAACATAAACCTGAACATGACGCAGGTTACAACAACCCAAAGCAAAACAAGGCATGAGCGAAACATGAGGTGTGTATATATATATATATATATATTGTTGAGAGATGTAGAGATTGGAGAATATATATATATATACACACACAAGGACTAATGACATAAAAAGACAGACCGGAAATTAACGAACACAGTGAATCAATAAAACATGACACATGGGACAGAGGAACCAATGAAAACAAGACGTAAGGAAACAGAGATCACATGACTGGATCACATGGGGAGTCACATGACACTAGAGAGGAACTATGACTATGACAATATACAAAATAAAAGACATGAATGAAAACAAAAACCCAGGAGAGACGTGACAACAGGCTTTAAAACCGGACGTGTCTGGTGTATTCTCCAATCTCTACATCTCTCAACAACACATTAAACTCCAGAATCCCGTCTGTGTGTGTGTGTGTGTGTGTGTGTGTGTGTGTGTGTGTGTGTGTGTGTGTGTGTGTGTGTGTGTGTGTGTGTGTTAGAGATACGCCCGGCCCGAGAGACACACACACACGAGCTCCAACGGGGAAATCCATCATTCCCAGAGGAAGGATCGTCCGGAAAGACCCGGAGCCTTTTATTATCGTTCTGCAGGACAGCTGTTTCACAGTCTTTCATCCGTCGCTCTCGCAATTATCCTCAATCTCTGAAAGTGCAGACAAGTTTCCGCCTGTAGTTTCCTCATATTCTCCATTGTTGCGGCTCCTCTCTTCCCAGTCTGTCAGTAACGCTCTGTTCACTTCCTGTCTCTATGAAGCCCCTCCTCCTGAAAGCACACTGTGCTCTGATTGGTCGGCTGGAGCAGTGTGTTGTGATTGGTCGAGCGCTTCAAGTGTGTTTGGGAAATGTCCCGCCCCTTTCCATAACCGCCAGTTTAACACACTACTGACTAACTCAACCAGGCCCCGCCCCTTTATTCTGCGCATTAATTATTATAATGAGGAATATTGTGACGTGTTCGTTCCCGGAAGAAACTCAAGATACAGTGGAGGCGTTTCAGGAGTTCAGAAACACTGACACTGATATAGAGGAGAACTGGAACAGCAACATTACACACTGAACACAGATGAACATGGGGGGAAAAGTAAAATACGACCCTTTTAACTTATAACCATAGTAAACGTTTGCAATTAAATCATTCAATCAATAGAATTGATTTGCTTCACAGTTTGAAAATATTCAAAATCTAAACAGAATTTATTTGCTTCACAGTTTGAAAATATTCAAAATCTAAATAGAATTTATTTGCTTCACAGTTTGAAAATATTCAAAATCTAAATAGAATTTATTTGCTTCACAGTTTGAAAATATCCAAAATCTAAATAGAATTTATTTGCTTCAGTTTGAAAATATTCAAAATCTAAATAGAATTGATTTGCTTCACAGTTTGAAAATATTCAAAATCTAAATAGAATTTATTTGCTTCACAGTTTGAACATATTCAAAATCTAAACAGAATTTATTTGCTTCACAGTTTGAAAATATTCAAAATCTAAATAGAATTTATTTGCTTCACAGTTTGAAAATATTCAAAATCTAAATAGAATTTATTTGCTTCAGTTTGAAAATATTCAAAATCTAAATAGAATTTATTTGCTTCAGTTTGAAAATATTCAAAATCTAAATAGAATTTATTTGCTTCAGTTTGAAAATATTCAAAATCTAAATAGAATTGATTTGCTTCACAGTTTGAAAATATTCAAAATCTAAACAGAATTTATTTGCTTCACAGTTTGAAAATATTCAAAATCTAAATAGAATTTATTTGCTTCACAGTTTGAAAATATTCAAAATCTAAATAGAATTTATTTGCTTCACAGTTTGAACATATTCAAAATCTAAATAGAATTGATTTGCTTCACAGTTTGAAAATATTCAAAATCTAAACAGAATTTATTTGCTTCACAGTTTGAAAATATTCAAAATCTAAATAGAATTTATTTGCTTCACAGTTTGAAAATATCCAAAATCTAAATAGAATTTATTTGCTTCAGTTTGAAAATATTCAAAATCTAAATAGAATTGATTTGCTTCACAGTTTGAAAATATTCAAAATCTAAATAGAATTTATTTGCTTCACAGTTTGAACATATTCAAAATCTAAATAGAATTGATTTGCTTCACAGTTTGAAAATATTCAAAATCTAAACAGAATTTATTTGCTTCACAGTTTGAAAATATTCAAAATCTAAATAGAATTTATTTGCTTCAGTTTGAAAATATTCAAAATTTAAATAGAATTTATTTGCTTCACAGTTTCAAAAAATATTCAAACTCTAAATAGAATTTATTTGCTTCAGTTTCAAAATATTCAAAATCTATATAGAATTTATTTGCTTCACAATTTGAAAATATTCAAAATCTAAATATAATTTGATAGGCTATATAAATGTTATGAGGATAAAGGCATATTTTGTACATGACTACACATGGCCTTATAAGGCCTAGAAAATGTATCCGACATCTCGTTATTAGACATAATTGAGTGTAAAAGATAATATGAATGTGTCAGCAATGCGCCACCGTAATTATGAGCTCTCTCTTGATTAATTATGAACCCTGCTCATGCCCGTGTGTTTCCCGTGCAGTTCCAGATGAGTTTGTGCCTGTGTATCATCCCGGACCCGAGCCGGAGGAGATCCGAGCAGCGCCGCTGAAGGAAAGTAAGAAACTCTTAGACTCCACAGAGACGCTTGTGTTGTGAACATTCAGAGCTGACCGTCTGTTCTGGGATCAGGGCTCCTGACCGACTGTGACTTTGACCGGGGAGCGTGTGAGTGGGTCCAGGATCACGAGGATGATCGGGACTGGACCATCAAGTATCATGAAAACGGTACAGAACCAGTCTCAGTTTCCTCTTACACTGTGAAGCTATGATTATGATTATGACACCGCTGAATGGATAAACCTTTTACATATTTAATTCCAGTAAAATAAAATATTAGTACTGCAAAATAAATTCATATTAAAGTAACTTGTATTTAGTCACGTTAAGATTTAAATATTTATTAAATATGAAATATTTAAAAGACTAAAATAAAAGTATAATCGAAATGAATAAAATAATCTTACAAGATATTAATATCTTTGTGTGTGTTCATATATATATATATATACACACAAATATATTAATTGTGTAATATTATTTTGTTATATACTTAAGTTTATTTTATTCATTTTTAATCATATTGTTATTTTAGTCACTTTAATATTTTATTTTTTATTAAATATGTGTTGCTTTCAATTATACTGACAGCTTAATCAGTGTATGAATGGATAAACCTTTTCCATATTTAATAAAATATAATAAAATAAATGAGTAGTGCAAATAAATAAATATTAAAGTAACTACATTTATATTTAGTCACTTACATTTATTACAAATTAAATATTTAAGTTGTGACTAATAATATAAATCATATATTAATATTGTTTTAGATTACTTTATTCATTATATATGCATGTATGATATTAAGATATTAATATTTAGGTTTATTTCATTCATTTCTAATCATTGTTTCGTTTTTTTAATAATTAATAATATATTTTATATACACTCACCGGCCACTTTATTAGGTACACCTGTCCAACTGCTCGTTAACACTTAATTTCTAAGCAGCCAATCACATGGCGGCAACTCAGTGCATTTAGGCATGTAGACATGGTCAAGACAATCTCCTGCAGTTCAAACCGAGCATCAGTATGGGGAAGAAAGGTGATTTGAGTGACTTTGAACGTGGCATGATTGTTGGTGCCAGAAGGGCTGGTCTGAGTATTTCAGAAACTGCTAATCTACTGGGATTTTCACGCACAACCATCTCTAGGGTTTACAGAGAATGGTCCGAAAAAGAAAAAACATCCAGTGAGCGGCAGTTCTGTGGGCGGAAATGCCTTGTTGATGCCAGAGGTCAGAGGAGAATGGCCAGACTGGTTCGAGCTGATAGAAGGGCAACAGTGACTGAAATAACCACTCGTTACAACCGAGGTATGCAGCAAAGCATTTGTGAAGCCACAACACGCACAACCTTGAGGCGGATGGGCTACAACAGCAGAAGACTCCACCGGGTACCACTCATCTCCACTACAAATAGGAAAAAGAGGCTACAATTTGCAAGAGCTCACCAAAATTGAACAGTTGAAGACTGGAAAAATGTTGCCTGGTCTGATGAGTCTCGATTTCTGTTGAGACATTCAGATGTTAGAGTCAGAATTTGGCGTAAACAGAATGAGAACATGGAACCATCATGCCTTGTTACCACTGTGCAGGCTGGTGGTGGTGGTGTAATGGTGTCGGGGATGTTTTCCTGGCACACTTTAGGCCCCTTAGTGCCAATTGGGCATCGTTTAAATGCCACGGCCTACCTGAGCATTGTTTCTGACCATGTCCATCCCTTTATGGCCACCATGTACCCATCCTCTGATGGCTACTTCCACCATGTCACAAAGCTCTAATCATTTCAAATTGGTTTCTTGAACATGACAATGAGTTCACTGTACTAAAATGGCCTCCACAGTCACCAGATCTCAACCCAATAGAGCATCTTTGGGATGTGGTGGAACGGGAGATTCGCATCATGGATGTGCAGCCGACAAATCTGCGGCAACTGTGTGATGCCATCATGTCAATATGGACCAAACTCCCTGAGGAATGCTTCCAGCACCTTGTTGAATCTATGCCACGAAGAATTGAGGCAGTTCTGAAGGCAAAAGGGGGTCCAACCCGTTACTAGCATGGGGTACCTAATAAAGTGGCCGGTGAGTGTATATATATATATATATATATATATATATATATATACACACATACATACAAAGATAATAATTGTGTTATATTACTTTGTTATATATATAAATAAATAAAAATATATATACCAAGATATTAATATTTAAATGTATTTAATCATATATTTACACACACACACACACACACACACACACACACATACACACACACACACACAAACACACACATCATTAATATTCATCATTACACCTGAACACACACACACACACACACACACAGACACACACACACACACACACACACACACACACACACACACACACACACACACACACATATAAATATAAATATACACACACATACATATAAATATACAGACACACACACACACACACACATACATATAAATATACACACACACACACACACATACATATAAATATATATACACACACACACACACACACACACACATTGACAGACACACACACACACACACACATACACACACACACACACACACTGACAGACACACACACACACACACACACACATTGACAGACACACACACATATATTGACAGTGTTGCATTACATTTCCTCTGAAAGGAAGTTCCCAGTAAAGGTTGAGCTTCCCGGTGATCAGATCTCACAGTCTGGTTCTCTTGTGTCTCCTTCAGGAAGAGAGTATCACCTGGCCCTCGAGGGCCCGGCGGGGGTCCGGCCCGAGGTGTCGAGGATGAAGCTGCTGCTGGACGATCACATGCGGCAGAGCAGCTTCTGTCTCACGTTCGACTATCTCATCCGGGGCCCCCAGAACACCTTACGGGTGAAGCTGGACGACAGTGAGTCTGCGCTGTGGGAGAGCGGACCGACACACACTCACGGCTGGACAAGATCCGAGAAGATCAGCGTCAGCGGGACCGAGACCCAGACCCGACCCGGAGCGGTGAGAGCGCACACTCACTGAAGAACAGAATAACATGCCTTTCATCTCACAGGTCTGAGCGGATCTGAGCCTGACCCGTGAGCTCTGTACACTCTCAGGGGAAAAGGTACAAAAGCTGTCACTGGGACAGGACCCTTTCAAAGGGTTCTAATATGTACCAGGTACTGATATGTACACTACTGGTACTGATATGTACACTACTGGTACCGATATGTACACTACTGGTACCGATATGTACACTACTGGTACCGATATGTACACTACTGGTACCGATATGTACACTACTGGTACCGATATGTACACTACTGGTACCGATGTGTACACTACTGGTACCCATATGAACACTACTGGTACTGATATGTACACTACTGGTACCGATATGTACACTACTGGTACCGATATGTACACTACTGGTACCGATATGTACACTACAGGTACTGATATGTACACTACTGGTACCGATATGTACACTACTGGTACCGATATGTACACTACTGGTACTGATATGTACACTACTGGTACCGATATACACTACTGGTACTGATATGTACACTACTGGTACCGATATGTACACTACTGGTACCGATATGTACACTACTGGTACCGATATGTACACTACTGGTACCGATATGTACACTACTGGTACTGATATGTACACTACTGGTGCCGATATACACTACTGGTACTGATATGTACACTACTGGTACCGATATGTACACTACTGGTACCGATATGTACACTACTGGTACCGATATACACTACTGGTACTGATATGTACACTACTGGTACCGATATGTACACTACTGGTACCGATATGTGCACTACTGGTACTGATATGTACACTACTGGTACCGATATGTACACTACTGGTACCGATATGTACACTACTAGTACCGATATGTACACTACTGGTACCCATATGTACACTTGTACACTACTGGTACCGATATGTACACTACTGGTACCGATATGTACACTACTGGTACCCATATGTACACTACTGGTACCGATATGTACACTACTGGTACTGATATGTACACTACTGGTACCGATATGTACACTACTGGTACCGATATGTACACTACTAGTACCGATATGTACACTACTGGTACCCATATGTACACTTGTACACTACTGGTACCCATATGAACACTACTGGTACTGATATGTACACTACTGGTACCGATATGTACACTACTGGTACCGATATGTACACTACTGGTACCGATATGTACACTACAGGTACTGATATGTACACTACTGGTACCGATATGTACACTACTGGTACCGATATGTACACTACTGGTACCGATATGTACACTACTGGTACTGATATGTACACTACTGGTACCGATATACACTACTGGTACTGATATGTACACTACTGGTACCGATATGTACACTACTGGTACCGATATGTACACTACTGGTACCGATATGTACACTACTGGTACTGATATGTACACTACTGGTACCGATATACACTACTGGTACCGATATGTACACTACTGGTACCGATATGTACACTACTGGTACCGATATGTACACTACTGGTACCGATATCTACTGGTACTGATATGTACACTACTGGTACCGATATACACTACTGGTACTGATATGTACACTACTGGTACCGATATGTACACTACTGGTACCGATATGTACACTACTGGTACTGATATGTACACTACTGGTACCGATATGTACACTACTGGTACCGATATGTACACTACTAGTACCGATATGTACACTACTGGTACCCATATGTACACTTGTACACTACTGGTACCGATATGTACACTACTGGTACCGATATGTACACTACTGGTACCGATATGTACACTACTGGTATTGATATGTACACTACAGGTACCCATATGTACACTACTGGTACCGATATGTACACTACTGGTACTGATATGTACACTACTGGTACTGATATGTACACTACTGGTACCGATATGTACACTACTGGTACCGATATGTACACTACTGGTACTGATATGTACACCACTGGTACCGATATATACACTACTGGTACTGATATGTACACTACTGGTACTGATATGTACACTACTGGTACCGATATACACTACTGGTACCGATATGTACACTACTGGTACCGATATGTACACTACTGGTACTGATATGTACACTACTGGTACCAATATGTACACTACTGGTACCGATATGTACCTCTGAGATACTAATATGCACACTTTAGGTACACAGATGTAGTATTTGAAAGGGTTCAACCCCAGTTACAGCTTTTGTACCTTTTTTCTGAGAGTGTTTCCACCACAGAATACAAAATAAAACATTTAATCTCACAATTCTGGCTTCTGAATTGCGAGATATTAACAATGGAATTACAAGTAGGGATGTCCCGATCCGATCACGCGATCGGAAATCGGGCCCGATCACGTGGTTTCAGACTCGATCGGAATCGGACGTTACCTCCCGATCAGGACTCGGATATATGTAAATTAGGGGTGTAACGGTACATCTATTCGTAATTATTGAACCGTTTCGGTACGAGGCTTCTGGTTCGGTACGCATACAAACCGAACGATTCCTAGGACCATTTTTCCTGCAGACAAAATCCGCGCTGGCGCGATCACCACAGCGTTGCGCAACATCAAATGGCAAACGTAATGAAAGCGGAACGAAACTGCATTATATTGTGCTTAACGGAGCATTATCAGTTCGGACCAGCAACATCTGTGCAGCGCGAGATCAAGCGACAGAGAAGAGATCCAGTGAAGAAAACATTTGAATTCGCCACAGGAGTAATAACATCGCTGCGAGATCTAGAGAAGCATTCACATTTCTCCATTATTAACCGTAGATCTCTATTGGATCAAACAGCGCTGACGTGGGAACCAGGAGAAACATTGTTCCGTGAATGAACATGGATTTAATGTTGCACTTCAAAACTCAAATATTATATAAATATATATTTAAATGTTATTTTTAATGTGATTACCAAAACATTATTTGTTCATCCTTCAAAGATTACCCCCATTTATAAACCTGAAAGTTTCAAGATGTAGGAAAACTCAAACTTATTTAAAAATATTTTTTCTTTTAATAAATAGGAAATTTCTCTGGCATTTCTTTCTTTTTGCTGTATCATATCGAACTGAACCGCGAATTTTGTGAACTGTTACACCCCTAATGTATATATACTGTATATTCTCATTATTTTTTGATACACTTTTAAAACATTTTTATTTTTTGTTTACATGCCTGCCGGGTATTTTAAGTTGAGGTGCTATTTATTTTTATATTAGACTTTTTCTATATTTACTGTTGCACTAAAGTCCAAAAGTGAAGATTTTATGTTATTTATTACTTGATTGTTCAAGCTACCTCACAGAAGTGCTCTGTTTGTTAACAGAGTTGTTGAATGTTAAAATAAGGTGAATTAAATAAAAAATAAGGAATATCCTGGATCTGTTTTTTCTCTCTTCTTTATTCTTTTTTTATGTATTATATAAGTATCGGATCGGGACTCGGTATCGGTAGATACTCAAAATCAAATGACTCGGACTCGAGGGCAAAAAAACCTGATCGGGACATCCCTAATTACAAGAAATATTTTTTTTTCTGTGGCAGAAACAATTGGCTTCAATAGTGGCTCAAATATTACACACTATTTAAAGAACTTTTAGAATTTTAATAGAATTTACAGTATTTGCTTCACAATTTGGAAATGCCCTAAATCTATATAGAATTTCTTTGCTCAACAGTTTGAAAATATTAAAAATCTAAATAGAATTAATTTCCTTCACAGTTTGAAAATATTCTGAATCTATATAGAATTTATTTGCTGCACAATTTGGAAATGTTCTGAATCTATAGAATTTATTTGCATCGCAATTTGGAAATAATCAAAATCTATATCTAATTGATTTGCTCAACAATTTGGAAATATTTAAAATCTATATAGAATTTATTTGCTTCACAATTTGGGAATATTCAAAATCTGTATAGAATTAATTTGCTTCACAATTTAGAAATATTCTTAATATATAGAATTAATTTGCTTCACAATTTAAATATTCAGAATCTATATAGAATTTATTTGCTTCACAATTTAAATATTCAGAATCTATATAGAATTTATTTGCTTCACAGTTTGGAATTATTCAAAATCTATATAGAATTTATTTGCTTCACAATTTGGAATTATTCCAAATCTATATATAATTTATTGGAAATATTAACATTTTTCTATATTATAGGCTAAATTTTCATTTATAATATTATTACAATATAATTTATTTGCCTCACAATTTGGAAATATTCCCAATATGGTAAGCCTACATTTCCAAATTGTGAAGCAAATAAATTTTATTGAAATTCTAAAAGTTCTTTAAAGGGGTGGTTGATTATGATTTCACTTTTCTAACTTTATTTAGCATAAACAACACCTGCAAAGTTACAACTTTAAAAGTTAAAAGAAAAGGGAGAGATTTGCTTTTAAAGAAAAGGACTACAACAAACGGCTGGTAGGAACTACACGAGCTTCCTCCCGGGTTAGTGACATCACTAACACTAGAATTTACATAAACCCCGCCCCCGGGAACGTGCAACAAAGGGGGAGAGTCCATGTTGAAAAGAGGTAATCGGAGCTGCTAACACACACACACACACACACACACACAAGCTCTTGAAGCTCCGCCCCCTGTGGCGAATTTGCATGTAAAGGGACACACACAAACACGTTTTTTCCTCACCCTCAAAAGGTGACAATTTTAACATGCTATAAAATATAATCTGTGGGGTATTTTGGGCAAAAACCTCACATACACACTCTGGGGACATCAGAGACCTGTGTGTGTGTGTGTGTTCAGGTGTAATGATGAATATTAATGATGTTTGTGTGTGTTCAGGTGTGATGATAATGATGTGTGTGTGTGTGTGTGTGTGTGTGTGTTCAGGTGTAATGATGAATATTAATGATGTGTGTGTGTGTGTGTGTGTGTGTGTGTGTTCAGGTGTAATGATGAATATTAATGATGTTTGTGTGTGTTCAGGTGTGATGATAATGATGTGTGTGTGTGTGTGTGTGTGTGTTCAGGTGTAATGATGAATATTAATGGTGTGTGTGTGTGTGTGTGTTCAGGTGTAATGATGACTATTAATGTTGTTTGTGTGTGTTCAGGTGTGATGATAATGATGTGTGTGTGTGTGTGTGTTCAGGTGTAATGATGAATATTAATGATGTGTGTGTGTGTTCAGGTGTGATGATAATGATGTGTGTGTGTGTGTTCAGGTGGTGTTCGAGGCTGAGCGCGGGAGGACCGTCAGTGGAGAGATCGCTCTGGATCACGTGCTTCTGCTCTCGGGACCCTGTTCAGAAGAGAAAACACACATCTTTTAGGACTTCATTAAAGCTTCTCAACACCAACCAAAGACTCGACTCCGCTGTAGCTCAGCGGGAACAGACGGGGAGAATAAGGAGAGTGACCTTTACTGTAGAAGTGTTATTGATATTGTTTGTTTTCTGATCAGTATGTAGGTATATATCATTCACTATTTGTATGATTATATAAACATTGTAACATTATAACGGCTGTACATTTTGCTTTACATTAAAAAGCTGGAAGAGATTTACCATTTTTACACTTCTGTTCATAGAATTTTTTTAAATAGTTCATTTCAAATTAATAATCATTGTCAGAAATTGATATTTAGAGAAGATATTTAGCCTGATCATATTGTATCATATTATATTACTAGTTATACACCAAAATGTGACCACAGAATTATTATAGTTAGTTAATTTCAAATTAACTGACATATTCATTGGATATTTAGCGATGATATTTAACCTTACTTTAGTGAAGTCAAGTGCCGATGGCTGTCGTGTCGATGAGAGTCTAGTTGACAGTCTCTGCTGGCACTTCAGGGATGCGTCGTGGACGTGTCCGGGCGCAGGTCCTCCATCTGGTCTGGATATGGCCCGGATCCGGCTGACTACAGTAAACCTCGGAATAAGCAAAGAGACTGACATTAGCGTAGATGCCATTCTTCTTATGATGTAACGAGTACATCAGGATTTATGGGAAGTGTTCCCGGTTCCGGCTGACCTAATCTATGCAGTCTAACATTGAATTATAGAAGTCTATAGTGTGTTATGTGTATGCTAGGTCAAAGAGATGTGTTTTTAGTCTAGCTTTGAACTGACAGAGTGTGCCTGATTCCCGGACAATGGTAGGAAGACTGTTCCAGAGTTTTGGTGCTAAATAGGAAAAGGATCTCCCGCCAGCAGTCGATTTAGATATTCTAGGTATTATCAACTGGCCGGAGTTTTGAGATCGCAATAGACGTGAAGGACTATAATGCGTTAAGAGCTCGCTCAAGTACTGCGGAGCTAAACCATTTAGTGCTTTGTAGGTAATCAACAATATTTAAAAATGTATACGATGTTTAATAGGGAGCCAATGCAGTGTTGACAGAACCGGGCTAATATGGTCATATTTCCTGGTTCTGGTAAGAACTCGAGCGGCTGCGTTTTGGACCAGCTGGAGTTTGTTTATTAAGCGTGCAGGGCAACCACCCAGTAGAGCATTACAATAGTCTAGCCTTGAGGTCATGAACGCATGAACTAACTGTTCTGCATTCGTCAATGAGAGCATATGACCAGTGTTGTGCCTGAACGCGTTCAATGAATGATAGATCATGAACTCGTTCATATTTTGGGCGAACGTGAACTGAACGTACTGAATTACTGCCTGATGAACGTTACTGTGAACGTGTTCATTCTGGTGTCTGTGAACGCACGCTCTCTCAGTTTAACTTCGTTCAATAGGGGGCCAGATTTCTATAGAGCCTTCCAGGCGAAAACCCGGCGAAAACACATGTAAACAGGCCTTAATATGAAGCGAAAAAAACACCCAATCTGGCAACACCAGCCGCCAGTGTCGCACCACCGCTCGCGTCATCAAAACAAGAAGCAGCATGAGCTCGACAAAGCAGCGAGGAGGCGTCGTATGATCATTTACACGAGTTTTATGACAAGGTCGGTGAGGATGGGAAAAATCTTACATTTCTGTGCAAACTTTGCCCGTCGATAAAATAATTGCTGTCTGTGGTTGTATATGGGCTGTGGCAATAATAAAAAAAATAAAAAAAGCTTGCAGAATCATGGAAAAAAAGAACTATGAATTAGTTCATTTTTTGAAGTATGAACTATGAACTGAACTAGTTCATTTTAAAATGTGTGAACTGAACTTTGAACTAGTTCATGTAGAAAATGAACTTTCCCAACACTGCATATGACGTAATATAGATATACTTTTAAGATGAAAGAATGCGGTTTTACAGATACTAGAAACATGGCTTTCAAATGAAAGATTGCTATCAAAGAGCACACACACACCCACACACACACACACACACACACACAGGCTCCTAACTGACGACGAGGACTTGACAGAGCAGCCATCAAGTGTTAGACAGTATTCTAGATTAGTATGTGCACAGGTTTTTGGTCCAATAATTAGAATCTCTGTTTTTTCCAGAATTTAGTAGTAGGAAATTACTAGTCATCCAGTTTTTTATATCAGCTATGCATTCCGTTAATTTTGTGAATTGGTAAGTTTCGTCGGGGTGCGAAGAAATATACAGCTGAATATCATCAGCATAACAGTGAAAACTAATGCCATGCTTCCTAATGATATCTCCTAATGGTAGCATGTACAGTGTGTGTGTGTGTGTAGCATGTACAGTGTGTGTGTGTGTGTGTGTAGCATGTACAGAGTGAACAGCAGCGGTCCTAGTACTGAGCCTTGTGGTACGCCATACTGAACTTGTGATCGATAAGACATCTCTTCATTTACTGCTACACACTGATAACGGTCAGATAAGTATGATTTAAACCATGCTAGTGCAATTCCACTAATGCCAACATAATTTTCGAGTCTATTTAAAAGAATGTTGCGGTGAATAGTATCAAATGCAGCACTAAGATCGAGTATTTGTTGATTATGATTTAACGAGTTTAGACAATTATTCCTCTCCTATTTTATTTTACTTTACTTTTCTCCTACTTTACCATGAGCTCTGAGGTTGTATCATATCATATATCATAAATATATATATTATATTATTAGTTTTAGGCTAAAATGTAATCACAGAATATGTGCAACACAGTACCAGTGTGTGAATGTGGGCCTGAAACCCTTCTGTTGTTTATGTAGCAACACATCACGTGATCAACTGTGAGTTGCGTGGTAACGTGACACTCACCCGCCAATAGGATCGCAGGATTGTGGCACCATCAGCGATCAGAGGAAGAGTCCTCGAACTCGTCATGTTTCGCTTTATTGCTTGTTTTGTTTCTGTATATGGAATAGATATTTCCGGTTATTGAAGCCTGATGTGTCCAGAAGCAGCTTCAGGTGAGACTCGGTCGCTCCCAGCCGCTGTTTTACACGCAGATCTGTGTTTATTTCCTTCTGACTGTGTCTCGGGTCAGTGACTCTGTTAAACACAACGGTCGTGTGTGTGTGTGTGTGTGTGTGTGTTTGAGTTTCTTCACTGGAATGACGTCGGTTGGTTTGTTAAACGGTCAATTCGTGTCGCAGAATCTTTGTAAACAAGTTAACGGTGAATGTAATGAAAACGACTCGTATTTCATCCCAAAATAAATGTATGAGTGTGTGTGTGTGTGTGTGTGTGTGTGTGTGAGAGAGAGAGAGAGAGAGAGAGAGAGAGAGAGAGTGAGTGAGAGTGTGAGTGTGTGTGTGTGTCTGTACATGTTTTTATATCCCAGTGGGGACCTGAATGCACACACACTCATGGGGACTCGTGTCACTGTGGAACTAAAGTGAAGAAACAAGCTTAAATCATAACGTTTTTGTTGTTGAAAATGTTAGTGTGTGTGTGTGTGTGTGTGTGTGTGTGTGTGTGTGTGTGTGTGTGTGTGTGTGTGTGTGTGTGAGAGAGAGAGAGAGAGAGTGAGTGAGTGTGTGTGTGTGTCTGTACATGTTTTTATATCCCAGTGGGGACCTGAATGCACACACACTCATGGGGACTCGTGTCACTGTGGAACTAAAGTGAAGAAACAAGCTTAAATCATAACGTTTTTGTTGTTGAAAATGTTAGTGTGTGTGTGTGTGTGTGTGTGTGTGTGTAAGTGACGAGTAGGTTTAGGGGTCGTGTCTGTAAGTGATGAGTAGGTTTAGGGGTCGGGTTAGTGTGTGTGTGTGTGTGATAGGTAGGTTTAGGGGTCGGGTTAGAGTGAGTGAGTGTGTGTGTGTGTGTGTGTGTGATAGGTAGGTTTAGGGGTCGGGTTAGAGAGTGTGTGTGATAGGTAGGTTTATGGGTCGGGTTAGAGTGAGTGTGTGTGTGTGATAGGTAGGTTTAGGGGTCGGGTTAGAGAGAGTGTGTGTGTGTGTGATAGGTAGGTTTAGGGGTCGGGTTAGAGTGAGTGTGTGTGTGTGTGTGTGTGATAGGTAGGTTTAGGGGTCGGGTTAGAGAGTGTGTGTGTGTGATAGGTAGGTTTAGGGGTCGGGTTAGTGTGTGTGTGTGATAGGTAGGTTTATGGGTCGGGTTAGAGTGAGTGTGTGTGTGTGATAGGTAGGTTTAGGGGTCGGGTTAGAGAGAGTGTGTGTGTGTGTGTGTGTGTGTGTATGTGTGTGTGTGCAGCTCCATTCCATCTGGTTAAACTTTGGCTGTGTTGCATGTGATGCAGGACAGAGAAGATCACATGACCAGCGGCTGAAAGCAAACCACTGTGAGTCTTCACTCATTTACACTCATAATGATGATCACTCATAACAATAATCATGATGCATATCAGAGAATAAATATATCTAGTGTTGTAAAGATCGGCCAATATGTGCTGATTTTAATTGGTTTTATTTTTGCTTTTTAAGAAAATAATCACTACTACAACAATATGCATGATGAATAATAATGAAATGAAATATTTCTGTAAAGCATCTCTGCATGAATTACTGTAAAGTGTTGAATAATTTATGCAAACAACACCAACATTAAAATTCCACTGCATAGAGCTTAGCTTCACTAACTAGTCCAGTACGCTGGGTCATATTTCTAATCCAGCAACTCTCTGTTGTAGATTTTGAGCGATGAATTATTCGAGGCAGTGAAGGTAAGCAACACCTCACATTCATAATGCTAAACCTCCAAGGATTATTTTATTAATTGAGTATATGTTCAAATTTACAGTAAAACAGTGAAATATTACTCCAGTGTAAATCAGCTGTTCTCTATGTGAATATATAGTAAAGTAATTTATTCCTGTGATCAAAGCTGAATTTTCAGCATCATTACTCCAGTCTTCAGTGTCACATGATCCTCCAGAAATCACTCTAATATGAGGATCTGATCCTCAAGAAACATTTATGATTATTATCAGTGTTGAAAATATTTTTTTGTGGAAATGTCATAAAGTTTATTTCTCAGGATTCTTTGATGAATAGAAAGTTCAACATTTATTTGAAATATAATCTTTTGTAACATTATAATATCTTTACTGTCACTTTTGATCAGTTTAATCCATCCTTGATGAAAAAAAGTATTAATTTCTTACTGACCCCAAACTTTTGAATGCTTATGTATGACGGTTTCCACAAAAATATGAACTGGTTTCAACATTGATAATAATTATAAAAATCAGCTGTTTTACACTGGAATAATATTTCACATTTTTTTTACTGTATTTTGATCAAATAAATCCAGCTTTGATCACAGGAATAAATACAATTTTACTATATATCCACATAGAAAACAGCCGTTTTAAATTCGAATAATATTTCACAATTTTTACTGTATTTTGATCAAATAAATTCAGCTTTGATCACAGGAATAAATAACATGTACTATATATTCACATAGAAAACAGCCGTTTTAAATTCGAATAATATTTCACAATTTTTACTGTATTTTGATCACATAAATTCAGCTTTGATCACAGAATAAATGAAATTTTACTATATATCCACATAGAAAACAGCCGTTTTAAATTCGAATAATATTTCACAATTTTTACTGTATTTTGATCAAATAAATTCAGCTTTGATCACAGGAATAAATTTAATTTTACTATATATCCACATAGAAAACAGCTGTTTTAAATTCGAATAATATTTCACAATTTTTACTGTATTTTGATAAAATAAATCCAGCTTTGATCACAGGAATAAATTAAATTTTACTATATATTCACATAGAAAACAGCTGTTTTAAATTTGAATAATATTTCACAATTTTTACTGTATTTTGATCAAATAATTTCAGCTTTGATCATAGGAATAAATACAATTTTACTATATATCCACATAGAAAACAGACGTTTTAAATTCGAATAATATTTCACAATTTTTACTGTATTTTGATCAAATAAATTCAGCTTTGATCACAGGAATAAATAAAATTTTACTAGGCTATATATTCACATAGAAAACAGCCGTTTTAAATTCGAATAATATTTCACAATTTTTACTGTATTTTGATCAAATAAATTCAGCTTTGATCATAGGAATAAATTAAATTTTACTATATATCCACCTAGAAAACAGCTGTTTTAAATTCGAATAATATTTCACATTTTTTTCTGTATTTTGATCAAATAAATTCAGCTTTGATCACAGGAATAAATTAAATTGTATTATATATTCACATAGAAAACAGCTGTTTTAAATTCGAATAATATTTCCAAATTTTTACTGTATTTTGATCAAATAAATCCAGCTTTGATCACAGGAATAAATAAAAATTTTACTATATATCCACATAAAAAACAGCTGTTTTAAATTCGAATAATATTTCACAATTTTTGCTGTATTTTTGATCAAATAAATGCATCCTTTAAAAACATAAAAATCTTAATTAAAGCCAAGTCTTAAATGCAATCTTCAGTTTTACAGGACGAGGACAACAACCATGTCATCCAAATCCTCCCTTCTGAAAGTGATTCTGCTGGGCGACGGCGGCGTGGGCAAGAGTTCGCTAATGAACCGCTACGTCACCAACAAGTTCGACGCGCACCTCTTCCACACCATCGGCGTGGAGTTCCTCAACAAGGACCTGGAGGTGGACGGGCGTACGGTCACGCTTCAGATCTGGGACACGGCGGGACAGGAGCGCTTCCGAAGCCTGCGAACGCCGTTCTACCGCGGCTCCGACTGCTGCCTGCTAACCTTCAGCGTCGACGACAGCCAGAGCTTCCGCAACCTCGTCAACTGGAAGAAGGAGTTCATCTATTACGCGGACGTCAAGGAGCCCGAAAGCTTCCCGTTCGTGCTTCTGGGAAACAAAGTAGACGTGATTGAGAGGCAAGTGTCGAGCGAAGAAGCTCAGGAGTGGTGCCGGGACAGCGGCGGATACCCGTACTTCGAGACTAGCGCTAAAGATGCTACGAATGTGGCGGTTGCGTTCGAGGAAGCCGTGAGACGAGTCTTGGCTTTGGAGGAGCGACACGAGCACTTGATTCCTACAGACACCGTTAACCTGCACAGAAAGCCGCGCGGATCCTCGCCGTGCTGTTAATCAGCGGGAAGCGGCCCATAGTTAATGTTTCCTGAATGCACTGGATGAATCTGCGTTATGTTTTGAACATGCACGCACTTGATATGCACTAAACACTGGTTTGGTTTCATTTTGGGTGTCATTCTTGCATCTGAACTGCCTGACGATTCTCTGCATTCAGATGTTTATATATATATATATATATTTATCTCTCTTATGGGGTTTGAGTGGGTTATTGTGCAAGACGGATGTCGTTGTGTGTTCAGCATGAGAGTGATAGTGAAGAAGAGCAAATTGCACCAAGGCTTTTGTTTCCCATTTTAAATATTGAAACCTCATTAAAACAAAAGGAATTTACTTGAGACACTGTTAAAAACTAAATTGTGTTGATCCTCAGGCTCGTTTTCCAGCACAACATCTAAACATTCATAAATCAAGACACATTACCTGGAGAACAAGCAAAACGACTGAAGATAGCTTTACGTACATTTGTACCAAGAATGAGTTTGTGTTTAAAACCAGAACAAATATCTGCCAGTGGACTCAGAAAAATAAACTTAATTCAAATGTATTATTTTTGATAGTCATTCTGCTTCTTCTCCAGTAAATGTGTCTTGATTTATGAATGTTTAGATGTTTGTGCTGGAAAACGATGTGAGGAAGAACATCTGTGTTGGATAATGTTTATTTCTTACCTCATTGACAAATAGTTTGTGTAATTTACTGAAACAAGTCTTAATATATCTCATGCCGTTATGCTTGTCTAGTAAATATATCTAGTTTGATGGATTTTCAGATATTTTTACTGGAAAACAAGACAACAGAACTCGGATGTTCTGATATAACTATGATTGACGTGCGCAGGACAGGCGTTCATACTCTCTGGTGGATTTCTAATATATTAACATTATAAAATTGTGTAGCGTGTGCCAAATATATACAAAGTACTTGTACTAAAAATATGGATAATAAGGTGGAGAGTTTAAGCACTTTGAAAAGATGCATTAAAATCTTAATATTGTAGATTGTTAAATTGAAATTAAAAAGTATGGAACAATACTTGTTGAAACTGTTTATTTGATTTAATTTAATAATGTACAAGTGTGAAATCTTCATCATTAATGTATTTTTGCACTCCTTTATTCCGACACCATTATCAGCTGATAAACACTATAAACAACTCAAACATGAAATATGCATCACAATGTTGAAACAAAAGATTGTGTATAAAACGAGTCAGCCGAGGAGATGCTTCTTCCCGAGGAACTGCACTTTCCTGTCGAAGGCTGTGGAGCGTATCGGCGCGTTGGCTTCATAGAAGGGATTCATTGCAAACTGGGTAAAAACACACATATTAATGTTTTAAAACAAAAGCAGTGCGTTCATATGGTACAGAAATAACACATGGCTTACCTTGATGTACAGATCATAAACATCATTAAAGAAGTTCTTGATTCCGTCCTCTTGCCGGACATCATGGAGCATTATGAATCTCATATGTGTGCAAGTACAGTTAAGGAATAGTCGGATAAATAGGACACGATTCATTACAAACAGTGTTTCATGCCGTCCTGAGATTGGAGGGTTATGACAGACAGGAATGTGTTTATTGCCTATGGTTCAGTGATGCGTCATGTGACGAGGAGGATATGGCCAGCGGTGACGAAGGCGGAGACGAACCACTCGTTGAACTTGTCCACGGTCTTCAGGTACATGTTGCTGGACTGCCACATGTTCTCATCCACCAGATCGAGGGCAGCGTGAGCGATGAACTGGTTCAGGTGCCGGTGATCATCCTGCCAGCAGAGTACAGTACAGACAGCAGCATCATCATCATCATCACCATCACCATCATCATCATCATCAGCTCACTGTTTAATGACATCATCATCAGCTCACTGTTCAATGACATCATCATCAGCTCACTGTTTAATGACATCAGCATCATCACCATCATCATCATCAGCTCACTGTTTGATGACATCAGCATCATCACCATCATCATCATCAGCTCACTGTTTGATGACATCAGCATCATCACCATCATCATCATCAGCTCACTGTTTGATGACATCATCATCAGCTCACTGTTTAATGACATCATCATCAGCTCACTGTTCAATGACATCATCATCAGCTCACTGTTTAATGCCATCATCATCAGCTCACTGTTCAATGACATCATCATCAGCTCACTGTTTGATGACATCATCATCAGCTCACTGTTCAATGACATCATCATCAGCTCACTGTTCAATGACATCATCATCAGCTCACTGTTTGATGACATCATCATCAGCTCACTGTTTAATGACATCAGCATCAGCTCACTGTTTAATGACATCAGCATCATCACCATCATCATCATCAGCTCACTGTTTAATGACATCAGCATCATCACCATCATCATCATCAGCTCACTGTTTGATGACATCATCATCAGCTCACTGTTTAATGACATCATCATCAGCTCACTGTTCAATGACATCATCATCAGCTCACTGTTTTCAGCTCACTGTTCAATGACATCATCATCAGCTCACTGTTTGATGACATCATCATCAGCTCACTGTTCAATGACATCATCATCAGCTCACTGTTCAATGACATCATCATCAGCTCACTGTTTGATGACATCATCATCAGCTCACTGTTTGATGACATCATCATC